TGTCGGTGCTGGCTGTGGGCTGCCCTGCTTATCCCTGCGGCTGCAGTCTACGAAGACCAAGTGGGCAAGTTTGATTGGTGCGTGCGTGCGGGGCTCCTTCGGGGAATATGCGGCTATCTGGCCCGCACCTGTCTCCTGCCTGCTAAAGCGAGGGGGGTTACAGGCAGCAGGACCGGCTCGGTTTCATGACGTGCGGGGCCCAGTGCAATAAAAAACGTGGGACCCTTATTCAGAAGTGAAGTTTTAAGGTGGCGACAGCAGAGCCTTAAACCAAACGTGAGGGCGCTTCTAGGCCGCCCCGCGAGACTGTGCAGGTCGCAGCCCGGGACGCCAGGTGACGTCTCGCAGGCTCGGGGTCTGGTTGCCGCCCCATCGGGCCGCTTCTCGATGACGTCAGGTTCTGACCTGAGAGCCAGAGGCCGACAGCCCTCAGGGGACTCTCATGCCTCCTCGAATGGGCATCTCGCGGGCGCGTGCGCAGGACCTTGGGTGTTACACGTCCTAAACGGAGGCCTCTTTCCTTTCGCCTCCCTTCCCGCCCCACCCAGCTGTGGCCTCAGATCAGGTTCGCGAAAGTTTTACATCGACCGGAAGTGCCATCCATGGAGGTGCCATTCACTCACTTACCCGCCCCCCCCCCCATCCCTCACCTTCTTCCTTGAGGCCCTGGAGCTGGCTTGCTTTTGTTTGAATCTCAGTTTTGCCATTTAAGAGTTGTGTGATCTTGGGAAAGTGACTTGACCATTCTGTGCCGTGTTTTCATGATCTGTAACATGGTTTACTAATACTAATACGGTACATGACCTCTTTCAGTGGTTGTAAGGATGATCGAGATACTTCCCATAAATTAGCACAGTGCCTGGCTCATGGAGTGCAGTCAATAAATGTTACCCATTATTGTTGCTGTTCAGGGGGCATTTCAACCTTCAGGTCCCCACTCAGATATCTCCGCTGTGAAGTCTTTTGAATCAGGCAAGTTAATTCACGTATTTGTGGAGTGCCTGTAGTGGTCAGTGGTTCTTCCAGGTGCTGTGGATACAGAGATGTGAAGGAGCTTGTGGGGCAGGTATACAGCAAGCCCTCACTTAATGCCATTCAGTAGGTTCTGCAATTTTAAACAAAACCACATACATCAAAACCAATTTTCCCATAGGCTAATTGATATAAGCAAGAGTTAAGTCCCCACGCAAATCGTTACAATGAAACAACATTATTCCAGGACCTCCTGTATAAGTGTGTGATATAAGACGGGGTGACAAATGCAACATGTCACATTTTTAATGATGGGGTAAATGCTCACAATATAACATGTATGATTCCAATGTAGCAAACACTAGGCATATGCAATTTACAAGCTGAAAAATAAATGGAAGGAAATACACCAACATGTTCATACTCCAACATGTTAATACATTTATGGTGGTGGTATTTGGGACATTTTTTATATTCTTTGTTATACTTTTGTATATTTTTCACATTTCTACAATGAGCAGGCATTACTCTATAGTCCAGATAACGATATTTTAAAAGAGAGCATGGGTTTAGAGTCAGAAGATCTTAGTTTTCCATTCTGGTTCTGACAGTAATTAGATGACTTCAGTGGACTCTGATTTACTCACCTGTAAAATGGGTAATAATCGTCCTGTGTACTTCATGGCATGTTCATTGGATACAGTGAGAGTCAAGTAGTTGGAAATCCTGGCAGAAACTGTCAAATGTAATATAAGCCTGTCTCTCCACTACCAGCTTAGTTTCTTCTTCTTTTTTTTTTTTTTTAATATATTTTATTGATTTTTTACAGAGGAAGGGAGAGAGATAGAGAGTTAGAAACATCAATGAGAGAGAAACATCGATCAGCTGCCTCCTGCACAACTCCTACTGGGGATGTGCCCGCAACCCAGGTACATGCCCTTGACCGGAATCGAACCTGGGACCTTTCAGTCCGCAGGACGACGCTCTATCCACTGAGCCAAACCGGTTTTGGCTAGTTTCTTCTTTAAAAAAAAACCAAAAAAAAAACCCAGACCAAACAACATCATGACGAGGAATTCAGTGTAAGCATCATGTGTGATTAATTTGCTAGAGAATGCAGTACTTTATTTTTTTTTATTGCTGACACTATTACAGAATGTCCCCCATTCCCCCCCTCTTTGCCTACATCCACCCAGCCCCTGCCATCCCTCCCCTGGCCTTCACCACTCTGTTGGAGAATGTAGCACTTTTTCATTAATAGCAATGTGCAAAAACACCTCCTATGTATTTGGTAGTCTGCCATACAAAGCTAATTGCATTCTCTTTATGCTTAGGTAAGAGTGTTGAAAGTGATGAGATATGTATAGTCCCAAGAAAGTATATGAGTAATGGGTCAAATGGATCCTGAACATGGTGTGGGCTAGAAAAGGTTGTAGAGAACAAAGCCTGAACCGGTCTATGGAGTTTTGTTGTAAAATTTGCATAATTTTTTCTCCAGAGGTCAGTGAAAATAGAAGGAAAAGTTGGATTGCATGTTCATGGACAACAGGGTTTGTGCCTCTTCCCTCGTGTGTCCTATGAGTGCCTTGTCCCACTATTAATGACTACAGAGAGAACCGTAATGTTTGTTCTGGTGGGATGTAGGCCAGGTGCTCTTTGGGGTGGCACTGATCTTGAGATAAACATGTGCTTACATGTAGAAGGAAGGCTTGTATTTTTCATCTGTTAGGGCTATTCTTGTTCCCTTTGCTTCAGACTACATTGTATAGAAATCCTGCTTTGGGTCAGGTCTCCTCATTAACAAACATTTCTCCCGTGCCCTAGGATAGGTATGATGCGGATAGCTGTGTTTGTGCAGTTGTCTTTTTCCAAAGCATTTTGTGCAGTGATGGATTTGGCCCCTCACATTTCCCTTTTCTCTAGGAGACAGCAGTATATTGGGAAGCTCAAATTTGCCTCCTTGGAATTTTCCCCGGGATCCAAAAAGTTGGTTGTGGCCACAGAGAAGAACGTGATTGCAGCCTTAAATTCCCGGACTGGGGAGATCTGTGAGTAAATTTTGTAGGCGTTAGCTTGGGATGGAATGGCTGACCATAGTGAATCCAGAATGGTCTGTGGCTTGCGAAGTCTGCCTGGCTGGTTCCAAGTTAGGGACAAGTTGGCCAAAAGATGCATCTCTTACTGGATTCTGACAACTTATTTTATTTTTTTTAGTCTTGTCATTTAATATATTCCTATTACAGGCCTTTGTAGTTTATTCCCTCAGACCAAGTCCTAACTATTCTTAAAGTAGGTATTGCTGCAAAAAACATATTACCCTATTTTGCATTAAAGATTTGGATTGCCACCTTCCCAATTACTTATACTGCTTTTAGGGATTTTTTAGGCACTAAAATCATGCATATGTAATTTATAATCACTATTTTTCTTGTGGATCATATAGGTTTTGTTAATTATGTCATTACTCATTTACATGCTTGATGAGGTGGTAGTGGAGAAGGGAGTGCAGAGACCTCCCCTTGTTACCCAGTGAGTGCGGGTGGGTCATCGCCAGTTCTCTGTAGTTCTTCCCTCCCTTGAAATAAAATTGGGCACCGCTGTGCAAACAAAGACCTCTCTTGTTTTCTCCCACCTGTCTTCTTGGATGCCTCTCTCTATTGCGTAGTAATGTCTGACTCTCCTGTCTCTCAGTGTGGCGCCATGTTGACAAGGGCACGGCGGAAGGGGCAGTGGACGCCATGCTGCTGTACGGACAGGGTAAGCAGAGTCCTGCTTTGCTTCTCTCGTGGTGTTGGCTCCCTCTCCTCATTCCTTGCACTGGGTCTGGTAGGGAAAGGAGAAGGGGTGTTCCCAAATAGCTCTTACATCAGAGGCAAGGTTACCGCTAACAGGCCCTCGGAGGCTACAGAGCTCCAATCTGGGAGATGATGTCACCATGGTTTTTTCTCTTCCAGATGCAGTCACTGTGTCCAATGGTGGGCGGATCATGCGTTCCTGGGAGACTAACATCGGGGGCCTGAATTGGGAGATTACCTTGGACAGTGGCAGGTAGAGGGGAAGAAGCTGTATTTCATCTGGGCATGGTTCAGGGCTTTGCTGGAGCACAGATCTGTGTGGGTAGCAACTCTGGGTCTTTTGGCTTTTCCCCCAGTGACCACTACAGAGCCAAAGAGCATTAAATGCCCAGTTTTTGATGTGGTTTTTTTTTGTTGTTGTTGTTTTTTTAATCCTCACCCAAGGATATGTTTTCTATTGATTTTTAGAGAGAGGAAGGAAGAGAGAGAGAGAGAGAGAGAGAGAGAGAGAGAGAAACATTGATATGAGAGAGAAACATCAGTCAACCAGTCGCCTCCTGTGTGTGCCCAACCGGGATTGAACCCACAACCTAGATATGTGCCCTGACCCTGCATCGAACCTACCACTTTTCGGTTCTCTAACCAACTGAGCCACACTGGCCAGGACTTGATGTTTTTGAGGTTATGGAACACGTGTTTACTCAGCCAGCATTTATTAAGCACCTCTTAGATGCAGAGCTCTGAGCTAGTTGCAGTATTTATTGTACTTAACTGCTTTTTCTAATCTTACCATGACTTGAGAGCTTTGCAGTGTTGTAGGTACAAGAACATAATATAAAACTTTCAATGTTTTAATTTTGTGTTTAGAGAACAGCTCGAAGTACTGTTACATCTTTGCTAAAGTTGTTTAATAAGAACATGTGCATTAGGTTATGCATCCAATAGTCATTTGTTTGGTAAACACTTGGGGAGCCCCCGGGCAGTGGGAACACACATGTGAATGTGAGTTAGTTTCTGTCATCAAGGAACTCGTTATCAGTTGGGGGAGGCAGGCATGTAGCCCAGTAATGACAATACTGTCTGAGGGGTGCCATGGTGGGGGGTTGGCCTGGTTGCTGTGAAGTCCCCTGGGAAGGTGGGAACAACCCTTAGTAGATTCGGGGGGCTTGAGGGAAGTATTATGGCCTAGTGGTTCAAAGAGGCAGAGCCAGGCTAGGATCCAGATGCATTGGAGCCCAAAATCTATTTTCTTGCCTACAGTGGTAGTGTGCCAGATTGTCTCCTGTAGCCTGAGGCTCTGGAGGCACTGGGCAGTGCTCACCCTGTACCTGTGCTCAGTTTCCAGGCACTTGGGCTGGTAGGCCTGCAGGAGTCAGTGCGGTACGTTGCGGTCCTGAAGAAGACCACTCTTGCCCTCCATCACCTCTCCAGTGGGCACCTAAAGTGGGTGGAACATCTCCCAGAAAGGTAAGGCTGCCCTCCCACCAGATGATGGCTACCTGGTCCTGCTCTCTACAAGCCCCTCTTTCTCCTTTAGGGTTGAAACATTTGCTTTGGCCCAGGCTTACCTTATGTTGGGATCATGTGTAGTGTGTTGGGCTCACTAGATCTAGGCCTGAACTCAAGGGCTGTGCTACCTCTGCAGTTGCCATTGCAGTGAGGAGAAACTCTCAAACTAGGCAGGAGAGCCAGTCAAGCAAGGGGACTGATTCTCTTGCTCATGGTCCTACTGCTTCTGGCTTTTTGACTTCTAGTTCAAGTCAGACTTATAACAACTCAAGAAGGCCCAGGGTAGGAGCTTAGTGAGATTTGAGATGGTTCCCAGAGGTCCTGGTGGTGGGAAGCATTGAAGCTGAGAAGGAATAGGAGGGAGGGAGGAAAATTCTACTTAGACCACCTCAGGCAGGGACCAAAAAGTCAGATTCCTATAGGACCAAGTGCATAGATACTAGTAGCAGGCTCTGTGGGGATTCTTGGGAGCTGCGGTGAGCCTGGCCTACCTCAAGGGGGCAGCCTTACTCAGCTGATAAGTGCCCTATAGGATGCAGTGTTGGGTAGTGTTGCCACATCTTTTTAAGAAAAGCTAGAAATCTGGTCTTTACATGTAAAATCTCAGTTCTGAATGTGGACAACACATATTTATTAATTGAAATAATAAAAAAGACTGTGTGAGACAAACAAAACCTATTTGGGGACTGAGAGTAGATGACCTCTGGCTGAAGACCTGGCAGCCTAGTCTTGGAGGACCCCTGCCCTGTGGCTGAAGCTGTTGCTCCCTGTTTTTCTTCCCTCTCTTAGTGACAGCATCCATTACCAGATGGTGTATTCCTACGGCTCTGGGGTGGTGTGGGCCCTCGGCATTGTTCCCTTCAGCCATGTGAACATTGTCAAGTTTAATGTGGAAGATGGAGAGATTGTGCAGCAGGTACGGTCAGGCATCTTCCTGAGGAGCCTTGTGAATTGAGGAGGGAATAGATAGAGCCCTTCCTTGCACTAGGACCAGAGAACTCAGTTGGCAAAAGCCATTGAAGTTCCCTGTTCCTGTCACTTGGAGGCTGCCTTCTCCTCACCAGGTATTGATTTAAGCCCTGGCATTCGCCCAGAGTGCTCTCCTGTGGTGGCTAAAAGAGTTGCATAGATCCGTTTGTTGCCTACAGTGTCTTGCAAACTAATATTGTAAAATAATCATAGAGAAACCCCAAATGACAGATAGAGTAAATAAATGCTTATCTGAAGTGTCTGGTATTAAAAAGTAATCTGGCATATTTTTCTAGCATCCAGGTAGAAAATTGGGATTTTTCTCTGGCTTTGGAGCTTTCGGGAGGCTGGGGGACAGGAAGAACTTTGGAACCAACCATGAAAAGCCTTGTGGTTAGGCCCTGGTGGGAACTGGCGGTGACACTGCTGAAGAGCTGAGTGGGAAGTGTAAACACCCTCACTGGCCTCCTGTTACGTGTCTTTCCCATAGGTCAGGGTTTCAACTCCCTGGCTGCAGAGCCTCACCGGAGCCTGCGGTGTGGTGGACGAGGCTGTCCTGGTGTGCCCTGACCCGAGCTCACGGTCCCTCCAAACCTTGGCCCTGGAGACGGAGTGGGAGCTGAGGCAGATCCCACTGCAGGTGAGAGGCCAGCGCTGTTTCACTGGCCGGAGGCACAGTCTTCGCCGCTTAGAAAAGTCTCTCCCAGTGTCACTGCTTCCTTCCTGGCCTTGGCAGCTGTTGAGAGAAGGCCGGGCCTCTGGCTGAACTGGTGAAAGGGGAGGTGGGCCATTCCTCTTTGGAGAACCTGAATGGGAACTTCAGAGCCACACGCCACGGCCTAGTTACTTTCATTGGCAAAGTGGGGCAGAGGATGCAGGCCTGGATGGAAACCTGACTTCTCGGCTTCTAACCCTAACCCTCCGCCCTCTTGTCTTGTAGTCTCTCGACTTAGAATATGCAAGTGGATTCCAGCCCCGGGTCCTGTCCACACAGCCCAACCCAGTGGATCCTTCTCGGGCCCAGTTCTTCCTGCAGTTGTCCCCAAGCCACTATGCTCTCCTGCACTACCATCACGGGGTCCTGAGTCTGCTCAAAAACCTCCCACAGGTAACTGCAGGCCGCATGGTGTGCGAGGATTCAGGACCATCCAGCCAAGACATGGATGCTGGAAATCCCCGCCTTTGAAGCTGCAGGCATTTGCTCAAAAAACCTCCCACAGGTAACTGCAGGCCGCATGGTGTGCTAGGATTCAGGACCATCCAGCCAACATGGATGCTGGAAATCCCCACCTTTGAAGCTGCAGGCATTTGCTCAGGATAGAAGACATCTTTCCAAAAGTGGCTTGAGAGGGTTTAGCCTTAGAGCAGAAATGGGATAGTTTTTCTTCTAAGAGTTATACAGCACCTTTAGAGTAAAACTGGCACCTTCCTCTGAGTCCTCGGGAAGTGAGGACAGTAATTACAGCTTCCCACAGGTACTGAGAGCTGCGTAGGATTGAGGATTGACTGTGCCTGTGCCGTTTTCAGCTGTAGATGTAGCTAGCCCTTCCTCTGCTCTCCCATGCCCTGGCCATTATACTCTCAAGTTGGGAGAACTTTCAATTCCACGGCCAAGGGGCCTTCCTGTAGAGGTGGCCCTCTGGAAGGCTGCTGGCTAGTAAAGGCCCATTTAGGAACTGACACCCTGCTTTCCCCCCAGACTGCCCTAGTGAGCTTCGCCACCACCGGGGAGAAGACAGTGGCTGCAGTCATGACCTGTCGGAATGAAGTGGTGAGTATTGAGAGTAAAGTCCGCACTGGGGGTTTCCTGCCAGGAGCCCAGGGAACCGAAAGTCTGGGCTAGTCTCCTGGTCACCTTGAGCCCAGGGGGCAGCAGGCTGTTGAGAACTAAGTTCTATAGAGCTTTCTGTACACCCCCTTGGTCCCCAGGAGTGGACCCTAACGTGATGCTTCACTTTCATCTGGGACTATTAAGGGTGGCATAGGCTTTGTGGCTAGGAATGAGAAATTGCGATTTGCCTTCTCCCAAGTGTTGAGAAGACGGGTGAAAACTTCATTTTGGTAACTGGGAAGTGACGCTTTGGCTCAATTTCCTTCTTCTGTCCTTTTTTCTCTAGCAGAAATCTAGCAGTTCTGAAGATGGGTCACTGGGGAGCTTTTCGGAGAAGTCTAGTCCGCAGGTAGGGTGTGGCATTGGGCACTGTGCCAGACTTAGACCCAGGGGGTCACCCCATGAAGTTGGGGGTGCAGCTTAGGCCATGAGCTGGTCTGGAGTTCCAGTCTCAAATGGGGTCTCCTGAATTGTGTAAATGATAGTTCTCTTGATCCTTTTCAGTTGGGAGATTAGGAAGTAGAAACTCTAGAATCTGTTCTTACCCACTTTCTCCTCTGGGCCTTAGTTTCCCCATTTCTTCTGGGCTCCCAGCTGGTAGAGTTGTTTTAATCTGTGCATTTGCACTGGAGCAGAGCATGGGGCGCTGGCTGGGGCACAGGTTCCTGCTGTGGCTCTTTCTCATCAGCTTTTCCGAAGGTTCTGTCACTTCCCTGCTGACGGTTTTACCTCTTGGGGAAGTCTCTGCTACGCTGCACTGGCTTCCTCCGGGACAAGTACAGTGGTTGTAATTTTATTTACTCAGGTGTCTTAGTTCTGCCTTAGGATTTAGCTTTCTTTTCTCTTACTTTCCTTTGCATGTATTTCCTGTCTTGGCCTGGGTTCTTTTGTAGGGTATTGCCCCCAGTTATTAGACTTCCTTTGGGGGACTTTGCTTTGGGGGAACCCCTCAAGTTGACCTGTGCTGTCTGTTCCCTTAGGACACGCTGGCTTGCTTCAACCAGACCTACACCATCAACCTCTACTTAGTGGAGACAGGTCGGCGGCTGCTCGACACCACAATCACCTTTAGCCTGGAACAGAACGGCACTCGGCCGGAGCGGGTGAGTGGGAGCCTTTGTCTTCAGGCTCCGTCCTGTGGGCTTCTCAGTGTGGGGTTCCCTTTCCTCAGGGCCGGGTCACAGCCACGGGTCCTGGATTAGAGCTCTCTGGACGTGGGTTCTAGTCCTTCCTGACCCACTGACCAGCCACAAATCCCTGTGACTAACAGTAAAAGTGGTACCATTCATTCCAAGTTATCGCTGTGCCAGGCACTGTGCTAAGCTTTTCACGATGCACTAATTGATCTAACCCTCCCATCAGTCTTGTGAGGTGGTTATTACAAACGAGGAAACTGTCCAGAGATTCAGGGCCCTATCCCGAGGCACAGAGCTAGCAAGAAGTCGCTAGCCCTGCAGCTGGCGTTCTTCGTTGCTGCCTGTGTTGTCTTTGTGCACGTTCAGTTGTGTTCCTCAGCCTCTCTGGGCTGGGCTTTTGTTTCTGAAATGGGAGGTGTATGCCCTAGCTGGTGTACTCAGCAGTCAGCGCATCGGCCCTAGCACCAAAGGGTCTCAGGTTCAATTTCTGGCCAAGGGCTTGTACCTGGGTTGCAGATTAGCTCCCTGGCTCTGGTCAGGTGTGTGTGGGAGGCAACCAATGAGACACATTGATGTTTCTCTTTCCTTCCCTTCCTCTCTTCCACTCTCTAAAAATCAATGGAAAAAAATATCCTCTATCCTTGGGTGAGGATTAAAAAATAAAATAAAATGGGAATTGTAATCCTGGCCTCCTGTTTACTTAGTGGGTTGTGATTGGCACATGGTGAATGATATGGGACTCCTTGGGTTTCCTCCATGACAAGGTCTGAGGGCGAGCCTAGCAACATTGTGTTGACTCCTAAGAACACGTGTTATCTTATTGGAGTCCAGGTAATAACTGTATTATTTAGACATCTGATAATGCCATGACCTAGACCTCTGACCTGAATGATGCTCTGTGAGGCATTTGAATTCTCGCTGACTGCAGTGGTCTTGACTCTTTGGCTTATAGCTGTACATCCAGGTGTTCTTGAAGAAGGACGACTCCGTGGGCTACCGGGCCTTGGTGCAGACAGAGGACCATCTGCTCCTTTTCCTGCAGCAGCTGGGTAAGCGACCTCATTCAGCCCATTTATTTTCGGCCTGCCCGGGAGCTCCAGTCAGACTCTGTTGCTGTGGACAGGCTTGTGGAAGAGTCCCGCAGAGCGTACCCCGATGTTTTTTCCAGAGCATGTCACCTGCTTTTGAGGAATTCCTTAGCCTTCTTGGCTGGGACATGGAACTTTCTTCCCTTGAGTTACTGAATCCAGCCCCTTGCTCTGGCTTCTCTTGGTCACACAAGAGCTGCAGGGCATCCCTGAGCCACCGAGGAGAGTCTCTTCAGGAGGTGAGGGGCCTAGCGTTGTGCCCATGCTCTTTCCAGCAGGGAAGGCGGTGCTGTGGAGCCGGGAGGAGTCTCTGGCAGAAGTGGTGTGCCTGGAGATGGTGGACCTCCCCCTGACTGGGGCGCAGGCTGAGCTGGAAGGAGAATTTGGCAAGAAGGCAGGTATGAACCCAAGAGGTCGGGCCAGCAGAGTCGCTGCAGGGGATGCTTTGGGAATGTGTCTGTTAGTTGGACCACTGGCAATGCTGTCTCACAGCATCTCTGGCTTCCAGGGTGCAGCCGGGTGCCAGTCTGATCTGAACCGGCTCTGAGACCAGTTTGTAGTGCTTTGTGGCCATATGGTTTATGTGCCCATTCTTTTCTATGAACGGTGTCACCTGCGACTTCCTCTAGGGAAGGGCCTTGAGGAAAAGAAACTTAGTTTAGTATAGTAAGAGCTACCATTGTCTGAGCACCTAAAATTTGCCAGGCACTATACACCCATTGTCCCCAAAGCAACAGCCATACCTTTCTAGAGACATGACTGGGTTAACTGACCTAGTTGTTGAGGCCATTGCCCTCTGAGCCTGGCCACATCCCACCCCCCAGGATGGACTCAGTTCCCTATACTCTGAGCCACTCCTACCCCCACCTCTGTCCCTTCCATCCATTCATCTCGCTGTCCAACAGGTATTTACTGAGGGCCTACTCTGGGCCAGGTTCCCTGGTAGGCATTGCTGTTTTCTTAAGCTGAGGATTAATTTGACTTTACTATTTATTTTTGCGGCCTGGATCCAGCGATTCAAGGTAAAATCTGCTTTCTGCCACCGTGTTGCTCATTGCCTGTCCACATGACTAGCTTTTGATTAATTCTTTGTTTTTCCTGACTTGCATCAACAAGGTCTATACTGTGTGTGCGTGGACTGCTATGGCTGTGACTGGTCCTGTTTGCCTCTCACTGCTCTTCCTTGACCTGAATAAACATTACATAAGAAAGGGCACCGCTCCTTTTCAGTGAGCACTTAACGTGTATCCCACACTGTGCGAAACCCTGTGTGTACATCATGTGTCATCTTGCAATAGCCCAGTCAGTGATTACATGCCATTTAATGATGAGGAACCAGAGGCCAGAAGATCAAGTACATTTCCCAAGGTCACTAAGTTGTAAGCAGTGGAGTTGGGATTTTAACCCAGGTCTGCCAGACGCCAGAGGCCATGCTCTTTACTGTGCAACCTGCTTCAGTGACCAAATCTGCCCTGAGGAGGAGATTTGAGGGTCGTGGTGTCATTGATGGAGTCAGGGGAGAGTGAGTGATAGCCCCGGGAATTGGTTGCAAGTAGGTCTGTTGGGTCTGGTCAAACAGTTGACAGAATAGGGGTGAAGCAGCGGGAAATGGAAGTACCCGTTCATGATACACAGACATATGCATCCCTGCACCCCACATCCCTCCCTCTTTTGGTTTCATGGCACCCAGAGCCTTCCTCTGGCCATTCTGGATGTGGGGCTGTGGTCGAGACGTTCACAGCATGGCTGCATCCTGCATGGCTGATCCCTGACCTCTTAGTCTCCTATTCCAAGATCCAGGCAGGTGCGGTACTATGAGCCAGGTGAGTAGGTTTGGAAGTTCCTGCCTGGCTGTCCCTGGGTGTGAGACTGTTGGCATCAGACACAGGACCGCTCCTTGGACGTGCAGCCTGAGGTGTCAAGCCACAGGAGAGAGAGCGACGCCTAGTTAGGAAAAGCAAGTACCCCCTTGCTGGACACACCTAGTCTGGTGGGGAGGGAGCCTCAGCTGTATTTATTACCTTTTCCTTGACACCAGACGGCTTGCTGGGGATGTTCCTGAAACGCCTCTCGTCCCAGCTCATCCTGCTGCAGGCGTGGACCTCCCACCTCTGGAAAATGTTTTATGATGCTCGGAAGCCCCGAAGTCAGATTAAGAATGAGATCAGCATTGACACCCTGGCCAGAGATGAGTTCAACCTCCAGAAGATGGTGGTGACAGTGACAGCCTCAGGCAAGGTGAGGGGGTGAGCCCAGGTCCCAAACCCCCAGAGGCTCTGGGGTGGTGGGGGAGAGCATGGGCTCTAGTTTTCATGGATAGAATCAGTTCTTTGGTTTGTCTTTCTAGTAGTGAGCCAGTTACTTGTTTATCTTGCAGCTTTTTGGCATTGAGAGCAGCTCTGGCACCATCCTGTGGAAACAATATCTCCCCAATGTCAAGCCAGACTCCTCCTTTAAACTGATGGTGCAGAGAACCACTGCTCACTTCCCCCACCCCCCACAGTGCACCCTCCTGGTAAAGGACAAGGTGAGGCCACCTCTGATTTGAACCAAAGTGGTGTGGCTTTTTGGTGTTTTGTAACTTAAATTTCTCCTAAGCCCTTAGAATTGTATGAGTGTTAAAGATCAGTATTCAGGGGTTAGAGCTCTGTTTCTTCCAGTTTTCTCCTGAGTGAAGGAACCATCCAGGACTGAGGTGGGAGTGACTGGAAAGTGGGGGTGACTTTACCAGATGTGTAGTAAGCCAGCTCGTCTTCTTCCCAAGCATAGGCGGCTGGTGGTAGCTGAGTGGCTGTTTTCTCGTCTGTAGATGAGAGACAGCAGGACACAAAGCTACTAGTATTTGTATCCCTGCTTCCCAGAATTAGATGGATTTTTGTCGGTTCATTCTGGAACTGTCAGAAGGGAGCTGGGAAGCGTTCTGCTGGAATGGCTGCCCTGGGGTTGCTGATTTGGTTATTGACCATTTTATTTGCCCCTCAGCCTGCCCAGTTCTTGGTTAGCTTTGGAGTCAAGAGGAAGTTTATTTTCCTTTTGACACATTAGCCTTGGGAACCATTCACCTTCAGCCAGGACTAAGGAAAGACTAAGGAATGCAGCACAGTTGAGCTCCAGTCCCAGATTCACTCCTAGGATGTGCATTCTTTCCACGGTGGAATCTGACAGTCTGCCCGTTTCAGGAGACAGGAATGAGTTCTCTCTATGTCTTCAATCCCATTTTTGGGAAGTGGAGTCAGGTGGCTCCCCCAGTGCTGAAGCGCCCCATCTTGCAGTCTTTGCTTCTGCCCATCATGGATCAAGACTATGCCAAGGTGCTGCTGTTGATAGACGATGAGTACAAGGTATGACATGGAGTGGCGGGGGACATCCACGTAGAGTTGGGTGTGGGGCAGGGGTGGTCAGACAACAGCCGGTGGACCAGAGCTGGGGCTGTCTGCAGTCAGCACACATTTGGGCTTGTAGGGCATCTCTAAGCGACTTGATTACTCTTTCTGCACTGATGAAAATTCAGGGTCTTAACAGATCTAAATTTAAGCCCTAATTGAGTTCAGTAGACTAATTCTTTAAGGTTTGCTGTTTTATTAAGGCTTTCTTTGATGGGAAATAGTAATAGTAATTGAGAAAGTGCTTAGAGACTCCTGACCTTTTCCTTTAACTCTTTTCTTGGGCTCTATGGATGTTCAAGGTCACAGCTTTCCCAGCCACTCGGAATGTCTTGCGACAGCTTCATGAGCTAGCCCCTTCCATCTTCTTCTACTTGGTGGATGCAGAACAGGGACGGCTGTGTGGATATCGACTTCGGAAGGTAGGGAAGGGGCATCCAGGCAAGAACCTTCAGGGAGAGGTTATTTGACTAAGAAGTCAATTATGCTATTCATTCTATTGAAAATTTTGATCAGCATAGTCCTGATGTCTGATTCAAAGTAATTTTCATATTTATTGAGAGGCTACCACATGGCAGGCATGGTTCTAGGTGCTGTGGAAAAAGCAGTCAACAACAGACAAAGTCTGCTCCCATGGAGTTCTCATCCTGCGCATGGTTCTAGGTGCTGTGGAAAAAGCAGTCAACAACAAAGTCTGCTCCCATGGAGTTCTCATTCTCATTCCTTTTCTATGGCAGTGAGAAGGGACATTGTTCTCCATTTGGGGGAAGGTAGGAGGTGGGAATGGGGGTTGAGTAATAGTACTTTCTATATGAATATGGTGTTATTAACTCACTCTTGATAGAATGTGTGCTTTGAGTTTTACTTCAGAAATGGGATAGATTTGCTCTGACCCTGACGTACTTGAGTCCAATTCTTACAAACAGTGATACACAGTGTTTCTGAGGCCCAGCTCGGAGGTTCATACGGGCCTGGTCTTGGTCTCACTAGCAGGGCTGCATAGAGGAGTAATTTGTGGCCTCACCAGACGGTCCTTCAGTCCTGTCCCTTAGGGCCTTTGGAGAGGTACTATAATATAGAGATTAAGAGCTTGGACCCAACTGCCTATGTGTGAAACCTCACTTACTAACTTTGTGACCTTGGGTGTAGGATTTCTCTGCCTCTGCTTTCTTGTCTATGAAATAAGATGATAATGGTACCTACCTCATAGGGTTAGTGTGAGGAGCAGGGACTTAATACATATAAATCACATAAAGCAATGCCTGACACATGGTAAATGCCATCTAAATGTATTATCTGTTGTTTTAAAATGCAGTGCCCTTTTCTGACATTTTGTAACAGCCAACCTTTCAGATAAACAGCATAGGAAATGGTCTACCCAGAAAATACATTCTGTACCCTGTGAGTGAAAATAAATTGCCCTTCCAAGTTGATAAAAAGGAGACCCTGAAAGAGACAGTTCTTTGTGGATACAGGGGAGCAAAGTGGAGTGTGGGTGTCATGAATCAGTGGAATCCTGAGGATGTCATCGGAGTAAGTGGTGGCCAAGGGCAGACAAAGGAGGCAACACTGCATGGGGAGCAGGCCAAGGGTGTCTTACAGTCTGACCTCTGAGTGAGCTGACTGGTGACCTTGCTCTCTGGGGATGTTTTTCGTTGTAAAAGATTAAATTGACGCAGAAGCGCAGAAGCAAAATGTGAGCAGACCCTTTCCACCCTGCTCCCAGCTGCTTTCCCAGATGGAAGGCCTGTCAGGAGTTGGCTGTGCATCTTTCATGGTCCTTCTGTGTATTCACAACACTGTGTAAGCAGCTGTGTGGGCCATATAGATACGTGATTCATAGATGTTTCTTCTTAGTGAAATGGAATTGACCTGCATTTATTAATAGGATTTTTTATTTTTCATCTCTTATTATTTTGTTAAACCCATGTTTAAATGAAAGTATAATGCTAAGAAAAACCCAGAATTCTGAGGTTATAGCTCAGTGACCTTTCAAAAGGGAACATTTGCGTACATGGCAGTCAGATCAGGAAGCAGAACAGCACCAGCACCCCACCCAGCTGGCCCTTGTGTACCTTTCCCCTTCCCCTGTAGTAACATTTAACCATACAGATTTGCGTATAGTTTCCTGTGACTCTAAAGAACTTTTTCTATAGTACTTCGAGGTCCCTGCCAGCTCAGTCATTCACTGCTGGCCCAGGATACGGATTCTTTGATTTTAGTAATGAGTGGTAAACTTTCTTTGGATATTTCCTACTCAGATAAACAATGGGGAGCTATTGAATAAGTTTTCTGCTTTCTTAATGGTATATTTTTAAGTCAAACTGTGAGTTCTAAAACTTCTTTCATAAACCAGAACCTTCTTCCAGCACAAAGGCTGCAGGTAATGAACTGTAGGGCGTGTCCAGCTACTGCAGTCTGCAGTCTAGGCATAGCCTCCTGACTACAAGCACCGGCTTTGTTGCCTTTGCTCCAGGATCTCACCACTGAGCTGAGTTGGGAGCTGACCATTCCCCCAGAAGTACAGCATATCGTCAAGGTGAAGGGGAAGCGCAGCAGCGAGCACGTTCATTCCCAGGGCCGTGTGATGGGGGACCGCAGCGTGCTCTACAAGGTATGACACAGCAGCCTGGTATAGAGTAGGAGAGCAAGGGTTTCAATTCTGGCTCTAGAATTTGTAGGTGCGTGATCTCCAGTGAGTCATTTAATCCCTTTGAGCCTAAAGTATTATCTGTGAAATTCGTACACTGTGCCCTTCTAGGGTGGTCGTGATGATCCCCTGAGAGACTCATGCTTAGTCTAGGGCCTGGCTTATGGCCATTGCCCAGTCGATGTTAGCTATTATTATTAGTGACTAGAGGCTTGGTGCATGGATGGGGTCCCTCGGCCTGGCCGGTGATCAAGGCCTATCAGGGGGCCAGCCAGCCGGGAGGAGGGACCCTGGGAGGTTGGCCAGCTGGCAGGGGGGAGAGGCTGCAGGAGGTTGGCAGGGGTGAGGGGCCTCGGGAGGTTGGCTGGCCATGGGGAGGGGCCGGCCTATCAGGGGGCCAGCCAGCCGGGAGGAGGGACCCCGGGAGGTTGGCCGGCCGGCTGGGGGGAGAGGCTGCAGGAGGTTGGCAGGCTGGCGAGGGTGAGGGGCCTCGGGAGGTTGGCTGGCCATGGAGAGGGGCAGCGGGAGGATGGCCAGCTTGGGGAAGGGCCACAGGAGGACGGCCAGCTGCAGGAGGTTGGCTGTGGGAGTGCACTGACCACCAGGAGGCAGCTCCTTTGTTGAGCATCTGCCCCCTGGTTGTCAGTGTGCATCATAGCGACTGGTCGATCGGTCGTTCTGGTCGTTCAGTTGTTACAATCACTTAGGCTTTTAGATAGATAGATAGATAGATAGATAGATAGATAGAACTGATAGAACTGTCTGGGGTTAAACCTCAGTTGATTCATCAGAAAGCCCGTCTCTATGATCCAGCACTCTAGTTAGTAGTAAAGGGTGGGAGATGGAGAAATGACTAGTGGGCTGCAGAACTATCCTATGAGAGCATGTAGTCACTGTAGTAATGGACATTAATTCCACCCCCCAGCACAGCAGAGACTGAGCTAGGGGGAGATGTCTGAGCTAGGGGGAGATGTCATAGAGCAGGGTACCACGACCAGACTTGACGGGAAGTTCATTCGCCAAGTGTGAGGCAGAGCTCAAGCCTCCGGTTGGGCTGTCCAGGTTCAGACTAGGCTCTGCCGCAGACTAACTGCTCATTGTGGGCCATTCGCTTAGGCTTCCGGACTTCTGTTTTCACCGATGGAATGGAGATTGTAGCCTGTGTCATGGGGTTACTTTGAAGATTAATGATAACATATAACATGATTAGAATGGTGTCCTCCACACAGTTAGCATTATCAGTGCTGCCAGCTTGAAATCTTTACTGATGAATGCCTTCCATGTGACCGCAGTGTGGGCCATTCGCTTAGGCTTCCGGACTTCTGTTTTCACAGATGGAATGGAGATTGTAGCCTGTGTCATAGGGTTACTTTGAAGATTAATGATAACATATAACGTGATTAGAATGGTGTCCTCCACACAGTTAGCATTGTTATCAGTGCTGCCAGCTTGAAATCTTTACTGATGGATGCCTTCCATGTGACCGCAGTATTTTGCTTGTTCAGAATGACCAAAATAATACATATTCTGAAGTACATTTTGACTTGTACTAGAAAAAATTTACTGTGTAATTTCATTCGTACGAGGTAAAATATGCTAGAATACTTGTGCTTTCATATGTTGAAGGCATAATAAGAATAGGGCTTTTTGGATTCATATTCATTATGCAAATTTTTAGGTTAGTCTCTTTTTTAAATAAACTTTTTTTTTTTTGGCTTAATTTTAGACTTACAGAAAGGATGCAGTACTACATAGAATCCCATAAGCCCCTTCTCTAGTTTCCCCTTGGGGACCATAGTACATCTGTCTAAACTAAGACATAAACTTAAGACATCAACATTGGGGCAAGACTGTTAACTAAACTCCAGTCTTTATTTGCGTTTCATCAGCTTTTCTATTAATGTCCTTTTCTGCCCCAGGATCCAACCCAGGGCTCCACATTGCATTTAGTTGACAGTTTTGCATGACCTTGATCGTTCTAAAGAGTATTAATCAGGTGTTTTGTAGAATGTCTCTCAGTTTTGGTTTGTGTGATGTTTTTCTCATGGTTAGACTATAGTTACGGAGGTGAAGTGGACATATTATTTATTTGAGTGCCAGGTACTCTAGACACTAAGATACATCAGTGAACAAAATAGACATTTCCTCTCCTTGTGAGGCTCTCATTGTATTTGGAAGAGGCCAATAAAGAAAGTAAACAGGTAAGTTAGAGAGCATGTTAGATGACAACCAGTTTCATAGAAAAATCCGAAGCTACAAAGAGGGAAAGGGAGCTTAGAATTGAAGGGGGATACATTTAAAATAGGGTGGTTAAGGACGGGGGGGTCTCATTGAGAAAATGACACTTAAACTTGAGGGAGTGAGGAGTGGGGAAAAGCCTTCTGGACAGAAAAATCAGAGCATGCCTGGAGTGTTCTAGAAACAGCAAGGAGGCTAGCGGGACTAGAACAGGGTCTTTGAGGAGGAGAGTCTGGGTTGCTCAGGTCAGGAGGTGACAGGGCCAGATCACAGGCCATCACTCTGGCCTTTTGGCTGAGACAGAGCCACGGGGAAGTTTTGAGCAGAGAAGTGACAAGTGACTGAGGTGTAACAGGTTCATTTGGCCTGCTGTGTCAAGATGAGCCTGTCGTGGGCCAAGGGGTAGAGCAAGCAGACAGTTAGGCTGTTGTAATAATCCAGGTGAGATGATGGGTTGGTGACAAAGGATCTGATTCTGGATACTTTTGAAGGTGGAGCAATAGGATATGTTGATGCATAGGATGTGTGTGTGTGTTAGAGAGGAGTTGAGGATGACTTAGAGGTTCTAGGTCTAAGACACGCATGGGGAGCTCTGAGAGGGAGCGGGTTTTAGCAGGGGTGGAACAGGAGTTCAGTTGGGGCAAGTCAAGTTTGAGATAAGACATCTAAGAAGATATACTGAGCTGGCAGTCCGTTAGTCAAGTCTGGAGTTCAGGGAGAGGTCTGGCCCAGATACATAAAGTGGGGCATTGCCAGCACCCATAGATAGTGTGAAAGCCATGAGATGGTGGTTGCCATGAGAGCAAGTATAGATGGAAACGTACAAGAGATCAGGAGATGAGGAGGAACCTGCCAGAGAGATGAGAAGGCGTGGCCAGTAAGGCAAACAGAAAACCAGGGAGCATGTGTCCTGGACGCCAGGTGGAGAAAGTGCTTCAAGCAGGAGTGATCCCGTGTCACATGGTACTTGTAGGTCATGTAAGGAGAGAACTGAGGCTTATCCGTTGAGTCAGTGATAGGGAGGACACTGGTGGAGAGAAATAGCGTTGCTGGAGCAGTGTCCTTAGGCCAGCGAATGGGCAGACCTGGGTAGAATCTTGAGTTACCAATGTCTGTGACTTGAGCAGGTTGCTTAACTCCTGTAAGACATTGCATCTTGAAATGTGGGTAATAATAGTAGCTACTTTGCAAAGTTGTTTATGGATTCAGTGAAATGAGTAGGCAAAGCACATGGCATGGCACTCAGCAGACACTAAACGAGTGCAGCGGTGACAGACTCTAAACAGGAAGCTCTTCTAACCAGGAAACCTGATTGCTCTGCCAGACCAGTGAACTCCAGGTTTGCCGCCCTCCAGGGCTCACCGTGGCGTGGAGCCCATGATGTGCCACTGTGGTTCTGAGGAGCTTTTCTCTTCTCCCCAGAGCCTGAACCCCAACCTGCTGGCCGTGGTGACCGAGAGCACAGACGTACACCACGAGCGCACCTTCATCGGCATCTTCCTCGTGGACGGTGTCACTGGGCGCATCGTCCACTCCTCCGTGCAGAGGAAGGCCAAGGGCCCCGTCCACATCGTGCACTCAGAGAACTGGGTGGTGGTAAGGACTCGCAGATGAGCTCGTGTCACCATCAGGGACACTATACTCTGTGTTGCATCATTTGTGAGACAGGGATAATAACAGTCACCTTTCGTCTAGCTTACAGCAGCGTCTGGCACATAGTAAGCACTCAGATGTTAGCTATTATAATTCCGATTTCCAAGAATCTGGAGAATTCTTTGTTTCCTGTGGTGAACTCTGGGTAGCCTAGAGACAACTACTCTGAAAGCTAGTAAACTTGTTAGCAAGGAAGAAAACTGGGTGCTGGGTGGTTTCTCTCCTTCGTGGGCATGTAGCCAATCAGAAAGGTGTCTTCCCATGTAATTTCCCTTGCCCAGTTGGACTAGCAGCTGAGCCCCTCGCTGCCCCCTCTTCTCTCTGCAGTACCAGTACTGGAATACCAAGGCCCGGCGCAACGAGTTGACCGTGCTGGAGCTCTACGAGGGCACTGAGCAATACAATGCCACCGCCTTCAGCTCCCTGGACCGTCCTCAGCTGCCCCAGGTCCTCCAGCAGTCCTACATCTTCCCCTCCTCCATCAGTGCCATGGAAGCCACCATCACAGAGCGGGGCATCACCAGCCGACACCTGCTTAGTGAGTGACTGGGGCTGGGGGGTCTCTGGGGTGACTGGGTCTCTTAGGCAGCCGCACTGAAGGACAAAGCCAGGGATGCATTGCTGGCAGAGCCACGTTTGATCATCATTAGGGATGGTCAGTGAGGAGGGCTTTATTTCAGCAGGAAAAGTTCCTCCTCTGGCTTTGCCATCCATAAAAGATGATACGTTTTTTAATTCTCATTTCTGATGAACCACTTTGTTCTGCATTTTTACTTCGCTCATAAAGGTGAGCCCTGATATCATTCCTAACAGATGGCCTGTGCTGACTGCAGACACTGGCACGGTTCGCTCTCGTCCTTATGTAGTTCAAGCTCAGGACTTAGTGATGGTTAGCAAGCTGCTCTGTCTAGTTGATTTTACCAAAGACATTTGGGACTCAGAGCTTATCAGCACTTGGTACTACTATTTTATTCTCAAATATGAGGAGGACAGACCTTTTGGCAGTTTCCCGTTAAGCCCCACTGTTTCTGAATCAAACAGCTCTCATGTCCTGTGTCCTCCCTGGCCTTGCTACTGCACTGGCGCAGTGGCTTGTTTGGCTCATGGGAAGGAGACTCATTGGTCGGGGCAGGTAGTATTGGGGGGAAAGGAGGAGATGAAGAGATCTGAGTGGCCTTCCGTGCTCATCTCTCTCATCATTACCCATTTCTAATTCTAAAACTTTATTTCCTGATGTCTCAGGATATGTGAGGAAACCAATATTTTCAAAAGTGGGAACCTTCATTCAGACACATGGGTATTATTAGATTATGGTTTTTGGCCATTTAGGAGCCTCAATGACCCCCCTCCCCCTTTTTAACTCAATATTAAATTTCTGTGATGGTGACATTTTTGTAGCTAGCCCTAATCTGGGGTTGATTGGTGTGAACATACACTTTGACTTCTTTCTGTGCAGTTGGACTACCTTCCGGAGCCATTCTTTCCCTCCCTAAGGCCTTGCTGGATCCCCGCCGTCCGGAGATCCCAACAGAACAAAGCAGGTGAGACCCCTGTGGCAGTGTGAAGGCTCTGACCGTAAGGAACTTAACCTGTAGGTCACCTTTGGTCCTCAGTCTGGTACATGCTGTCCTACTGTGCTGGGACCTGGGGATGTAGCAGTGAACAAGTCTGACAAATATGTCTGCCCTCATGGAGTTACATTCTGGTTGGGGAGATGGACAGTAAATAAGATGAAATGTTAGCTACTCATAAACGTTGAGGAGGAAAAAAGCAGAAAGGGGACTGGGGTTGTGCAGGGTTAGGGGGTATGTGTGGTTGAACTTCTGCAAGTGTGGCCAGGGGAAGCCCCTCTGAAATGGTGACTTGATTGAAGACCAGAAGCTAGCCTTATGGAGGCCTGGGGGCACTTTTCAGGCAGAGGGAAGAGCCAGTGCAAATGCCCTAAGATCATGTCAGTGAGTTAGAGGGAGGGTGGGAGGCCAGTGGGGCTAGAGTAGCTGGTGGTGGGGAGACGGAAATGAGGTCAGGGAGGAAATGGGGGTTGGGTCCTGTAGGGAATACAATAGCTTGCCACTGTTAGTATTTGAATAATTCCAGCCATCGTTTCTCGCACCCATCCTGAATTCTTTTCCCTTAGGGGTCTGAGAAACTGGGCAGCAGAAGGCACAGTAGATCTGTTTTTGCACAAAGAGAAAAGGAAAGAGGGGTATGGTTTAGAGCAGTGATGGCAAACCTATGACACGCGTGTCAGAGGTGACACGCGAACTCATTTTTTTGGTTCATTTTTCTTTGTTAAATGGCATTTAAATATATAAAATAAATATCAAAAGTATAAGTCTTTGTTTTACTATGGTTGCAAATACAAAAAAATTTCTATATGTGACACGGCACCAGAGTTAAGTTAGGGTTTTTCAAAATGCTGACACGCCGAGCTCAAAAGGTTCGCCATCACTGGTTTAGAGTGAAGAGAGAATAAGAGTGAGACTATGGGGGGTGAAAGAGGGGAGGATAAACCTGGGGAAGAGATATGGGGTGATAACAGGTTTTCCAGAGGAGTGTAGACAGGCACTCTGGGTTGAAGGGCAGGAATTGGCCCAGTGGCTCAGTGTTTTAGTTTTAAAATGGCTTTGACTTTCCTCCCCTGGTGTGAATACTGTTGTCTGTATGCTATTTGTTTTTAGATTTAGAACAAGGTAGGAATCCAGATCTCAGTCTTAGTCTCCACGCAGCTTCCTTTCTTACAGCCTTCCTAACAGTTAGCTGCTAAATTTTTAACTCCCTAGTAGACTTTGAAGGAAGATGTGAGGCTAGATATGTGGCCTGGAAAGCTCCCAGGACTCTGAAAGGGCAGCCAGGGGATCACCTTACAGCAGTTTGAATGCCGTCCCGACTGATGTTTTGCAGAGAGGAGAACCTAATCCCGTATTCTCCAGATGTACAGATACACGCAGAGCGATTCATCAACTATAACCAGACAGTTTCTCGAATGCGCGGTATTTACACTGCTCCCTCAGGCCTGGAGTCCACTTGTTTGGTGAGTAAAGCCCACAGCCACCCAGCTGTGACAGCCGTTGGGGACACAGCTGAGGGTTCCATTTCCTTTCCTACCTGAGGTTGAGGTTGTGCGGATCACTGGCTGCCTTTCTTACCCATTTTTCTTTCCCTCTGCCTTCCAGGTTGTGGCCTATGGCCTGGACATTTACCAAACTCGAGTCTACCCGTCCAAACAGTTTGATGTCCTGAAGGATGACTATGACTATGTGTTAATCAGCAGTGTCCTCTTTGGCCTGGTGTTTGCCACCATGATCACGAAGAGACTGGCACAGGTGAAACTCTTGAATCGTGCCTGGCGGTAAAGACCCAAGATCTGCCCGAGCGTGGAGAGCCGAGGGAGAGTCAGCAAAGCTCCAGCTGCAGTTTGACAGGGTGATGGAGGATGTGTGGGCGCTCATCTTAGCTAAGAGTTGTGGGGGAGAAGGTGGACTCTCATGGAGACTCCTTTTGGGATATGTCTGGTGCCATCGGTGGATGGAGGTTGAACTCTCTCTCAGCTGAGAATCTCAAAGCATCTTGATGGATTTTCCCCTGAAGTCCAAAGGCCATTGCCCTATTTCCTCTTTGTCCATCTATGAAAGTTCTGTGTGTTTTTTATAAGAGCTCCCAACAGAGTTTTCTCTTTTATGAGGCCTGTTCAAATGGATTTTGGTTTGCCGCCTGTTTCCCAGGTTAAATTAGAAATCTTTCTGTGTCCCTGCTTCTGGCTTGGGTGGGAAGGGAACTCTTACTGACCACTCCACCTTTACTGTTTACATTGGGAGGAAGAAGATCCGTCCTTCGCTAAAGTTTGAGCACTGATCCACCCTCTCGTGGCTTCTCTGCACAATAACTCCCGGTTGAGAAACCTATATTTGGTATCAATCTTATTTGAATGAAGCCTCTAGTTTCATGTTCTCATTCAGGTTGGGCCACGTAGTCTTTCAGTTTATTAAAAGCCAAGTGTGTAAATAGCATCTTGGTTTGTGGATCACTGCCCAGGTCTTTCACCTAAGGCATGTGCAGGCTGAGGCCTTTTAATACTACTGAATCGTCTGAACCTTGAAGAGATTTCAGGGGAGGGAGGAGCTAACCCGCCTGTTTGCAGTACCTCATGATCTCTCATTTCACCCACAGCCTGGTCTCGCCATCTGATAACCTTGTTAGAGAAAGTCATCCTGTTTAAGAACCTCATTATTTATTTTTAGTTTTATATAAATTGACCTGTGTGGGTCACTAGATTGCTCTTAAAATGAGATTTCAAATCTTACGGATCTTTAAGGAATGGAGAAAAAAAGGGCAGAGGTAGGAAATTGGCATTTTGTGGGTGAGGCATTGTCGATTGGCTGGGCTGTTGTCTCTGCTGCAAAAGAAAGATGTCCTAAAAATGTTCCCTTGTTCCCGGACTTAGGGAATAATGCGGCTTTTCTTTATTGTGAAGAATGAAATGTACAGAGTAGACCTCTAGCCCTGTGGGGGGAGAGGTACATTCAAGCGACTGAATAAAGTGAGTGACAAACGGCACTGTTTAAGTCCTTTTTTTGTGGTTTAGGAACACTTTGAGGCTACTCTTATATTAGAGGGGACAAAAAGCAATGCAGAAATGGTTTTTAGAAAACTTTAAAAATATATATTTTTTTATTGATTTCAGAGAGAAAGGGAGAGGGAGAGAGAGAAACATCAATGATGAGAGAGAATCATTGATCTGCTGCCTCCTGAACGCCCCCTATTGGGGATCGAGCCTGCAACCGGGCATGTGCCCTGATCGGGACTTGAACCTTGACCTCCTGGTTCACATGCTGAGGCTCAACTAGTGAGCCCCACCGGCCAGGCTTCTCAGTATTTGAAACTCGAAGCAGCACTCACTTCTGACCAGCTATGCTCAGCCTCTACCTGTGGCTTTGGACTCTCTGATGGGGTTTTCTCCTCTTTTTCTGTGCATCTGCCCCCATCTCTTCATTAACTAGGTTGACTTTGGGGCCACCTGCAAGGAATGTTTCATTTAAAGGAGAGTCCTTAGTATTTTGGATGTCATTATTTTTTTTAGTTTGGTTAACATACGTGATCTCTTGGTGTAAAGTTTACAGCTAAATTCAGTGATTTTCAGTCCCTGTTGGGAATAATGTAAAATGGTTTATGGCTTTTGTTAATGTTTCCTTAACCTTTGACTCTGAACAGTAATTAGTTATTGGTGAATGTGCATGAATTAAACACAGAATTATAGTTTTAAATTTTGGGGGAGGAGGAAAGGGGTTAAATAGTGATGTATTTTACCCCACCCACCCTCTTCTTAAAACTGTAGCTTTAATGCCACTTTTGCAAGGGGCTGATATTTGCTCCCCTTCCCCTACCCCCAACAATGAAGGGTGAGCATGCTCTTATGCAGATAATAGTTTTATCACTGACCCTCAATTTGATAAGTACCAAAACAAGTTATAGAGTTTAAACTTTTCTGAAACCCAAATAATTTTTGTTAGCATTCCTCCAATATTTATTTTGCTTAGAGTCTACAATTCTAAATTGGGAGTCGACTCGTTCTGCCTTTCTCTATGGAGTAGAATTCTGGGCCTTGACTATTTTGTGTGCCCTGGAGCAGATGTGAAACTTCTTTAATCATTCCTTTGGCCTCTGATTAGCCATAAATCTTTGTCAGGCTCTTTCATTTTAAAGAGAGGATGTTACTCCTCTCCTCTGCTTTAAAGGGTGCGAAACTGTATAGCTCCATGCTTCTTGAGCACAAACAGAAGATACGCCCCAGGAAGTTTAATGTAGACCTCCTTGGCCAGTATCTCACCTCCTTACAAAAAGCACTTGGTTGAAACAGACACATAGACACTGAGAGCGGACTGGTGGTTGCCAGAGGGGAGGGGGATGAAGGGGGGGGAAGGGCTGGGAGAAAGAAGTGAAGCAATTTATAAGTACAGATTGGTACTACAAAATAGTCATAGGGATGTAAAGTACAGCATAGGGGATATGGTCTATAATATTGCACTAACTCTGTATAGTGGCAGTTGGGTACTGGAAATATTGAAGGGGAAATACTATGTAAAGTATATGATTATTTAATCACTATGCTGTACACCTGAAACCAATACAAAATAAAACTGAAAGTAAACTGTAATTGAAGAATAAAAATAAAAATGATTTTTTAAAAAAGCTCTTGGTACAGCTTACACACCATAAACGATACACAATAAAATAAAATGAAAATTAAGGTGAAAACAGCAACGAGAGTGAAAAACACAACTCAAAGGAGAGTGGTTCAGACACAGTGTGTTGCGTCCCCAACCCCCAGTATATATATAATCTGTCTTTTCTTCAAGCTAAAGCCAGTCCCTAGCTTAAGCCAGACCAGCAGGGACCTAGCTGTGCATCTAGATGGAATTTTTGGGACAGCATTTTGTTGTAGCCTACCTTCAGGAATGGATTTTAGAACTTGGTGTTGGATTTATTCTAGAGATGTTAAGGATGTTGTTTATCGTATGTAGAGGAACAAGGAGGAAGTTCCCTATGGCTCAGTATCAGAATAGTTGTCTCTTTTAAATTACTCATAAATACACTGGCCAGATTATTATGTCCAGCCAGATTATTATGACCACCCCATCAGTACTTCATTGACACTTCCAAAAATACTGAATATTGAAAACTCCCTAAGCAAATACTCTCAAGGTTTTATTATTTGCATAACTAATTCACTTCATTGTACTGATGGGGTGGGTGGTCATAATAATCTGGCCGGTCATAATAATCTGGCCACTCAGTGTATATTTTCCCTTGATTTTATTATTTTTTTAAAATATATTTTTATTGATTTCAGAGAGGTAGGGAGAGGGAGAGAGAGAGAGAAACATCAATGATGAGAGAGAATCATTGATCGGCTGCCTTCTGCATGCCCCGTACTGCCCGAAACCCAGGCATATGCCCTTGACCGGAATTGAACCCAGGACCTTTCAGCCCACAGGCCGACGCTCTATCCACTGGGCCAAACCAGCTAGGGCTCCCTTGATTTTAAATAGAACAAACCCTGTCTATGTGCATGTTGTAGAAAAAAAGAAATTCAATGCAAAAATTACTGTGGACTGCCCTAACTGGTTTGGCTCAGTGGATAGAGCGTCGGCCGGCCTGCGGACTGAAGGATCCCAGGTTCGATTCCAGTCAAGGGCATGTACCTTGGTTGCAGGCAATCCCAGGTAGGGGGTGTGCAGGAGGCAGCTGATCAATATTTCTCTCTCATCGATGTTTCTAACTCTCTATCCCTCTCCCTTCCTCTCTGTAAACAATCAATAAAATATATTTTTTTAAAAATTACTGTGGACTAATACTAATAATCATATGGTAGCCAGTTTAGTGTCCTTGTGTTACAGGTTCTTTCTTAATGGAATCATGCTATTTAATTCTATTTGTTTTTTCAACTACTGCATCTTAAACATCATGTTTTCATGAAAGAGGCCTTAAATTCTTTCTGGAACAAAATATGATAGAAATTTTAGATTTGTAATTTGACTACCCTTATGAACTGATATTCTTTTTTTTAAAAGCTTGTTACATAAGCTACAATGATCAGAATCATTCCAAGACTATTTACTGACTTCTGCTCATTTAAAATTTTGTTTTTAAGTAATGAATTATTGTTTCTCTACATTCCTTAGTTGGAATGCTTTTTTCCCTTCTCAAAATATGGCTTGTCTCAAATCTAAAATCCTCCCTAAAACCTTCCCTGTTGATTTTGGTTCCCCAGAACCTTTGAGTTTCCTGGCTGTTCACCACACAATTTCCCCAGTGGTGCATCCCAGCGTTTTATTACTTTAGTCATTTTGTGTCTCCCAGGGATTGGTAAACTGTTTTCTGAATTCCCCACTATCTTAAGCATGAAGCTGCTATTTTGACTAACACTTTCATAGGAGACAGGATATTTGTCGTTAGTTTCTTAAATTTATAGTGCCTTATGGTGACTTAATAAGGAATTCTTACATTGAAATGCCAAGAGGTAGTCCTACTCACCTTTTCTGGTATGCCCTGGAACACAGGCTCTGCAAACCCTATAATGCTACATTAAAAAAATGCTCACAAGATCAATATGGGAAATGAGCTTTGTGGTACCATAATTTCTATCTTAAAAAGGAATGAGATCTCAGTATATTTATGTGTACTTACATAAACAAAATAAAGAGAACTGTGATTACTTAGACTCAAAGTCCAAATAGGCTTTGAAAAACAATATTCTTTATAACTACCTTAATATTCAAAATTTGATAATTATCATTCCATAATCAAAACAAGGTAGACAATACTTTGTCGCATTTATTTATTTGTTTATTTTTGGTAAAATGCAAGCAGAGGGACCATCTACCTTTCAATAATGGAGACACTGGTACTTCGTATGAAGGAACTGCTTCATATTTTGTTGCCAAGTTATTTATATTAAAAGACTACATACGTTACCATCATGTTCTGCTCTCAATGGATGTTTCTCTCCCTCATCCTTCCTCTCTCAAAACCAATAAAAATATTTTTTTAAAAGACGACATACATTATTAAACAATACAAAAAAAAATAATGGTTGAGTCTCCCCTTCAAAACCTTCCCCAACCCTCTATGTCCAAGATAACGACTGAACAATTCGGTATGTATCTCTCCAGACCACATAATGTTCTGCAACTTGATTATATCAGTACTAGAGGCTCAGTGCACAAAAATTTGTGCACTCGGGGGGGAAGAGGGGGTCCCTCAGCCCGGCCTGTGCCCTCGCAGTCTGGGAC